CTCTGCTTACTATATATTCAGATTCCTCCTCTGTGCGGCTTTTGATACCACAGGTCCCTGCATACTATTTGCCATCTCTGGCTTGGCTCTCCTGTGGTTAAAGTCTGACCTATCTGACAGAACACAGTGTATTTCTTATAACAATACTACAACAACATTTTCTAGTGTGAAATAAGGAGTACCTCAGAGCTCTGTTTTGGGCCCTCTGCTTTTCTTACTTCATATTTCACCTGTACAGTCTTTTGCCTTTTGTACAGTCCACTGCTATTTCAGCTTGATACTCAGCTGCCTGTGCATGTCCAAGCAGATGAGTTCGATCCTATCTTCTCTTTTGATCAGGATGTTTAAAAATCACTAAGACTGCTTTTTTTTTTACACCCATGCAATATTGCAAAAATTCTGCCTGTTTCTTTGTCAAACATTATTTTGCAGCCTTGCAGGGAGCACTTTAAATCAAACAGTAAAAAGGCTCTGCCTCGCAGTGCATTAGCCTTCGCAGTCACCTGGCTCTTTACGGCAGAAACAGTTCATGCATATTGATGACTAATTGGTTGGCTGCAGGGCTCGTCCTTCCTCATGGAGCCATCATCTCCCTCAGAGGAGAACATGAACCAAGGGGAGGAGTAGAGAATAAAAACAGCCTTGACTGAAAAGTTAATGCATACATACAGTACAGATCTTTCTTTTAAGCTTGCCAAGCTGTCTCCTGTGTCTTTTCTACCTGATATGATGATTCATACATATTTACATAATCAAGAGGCACAAAATCACCTAGGTAGCCATGTGGACAATAAAATGATAATAAAACCCTGTACATAGAGGATCATTCAAGTGAAAATTCAAATCTATTATACATAGTGGACCCGGTGTCCAGTCTACAGCAACGAATATGTTTCCTGGCATTATGCGTCTAGTCATCAAAGCCCTAACAAACTGACATTTCAGAAAGAGACAATAAATTATTCATACAGTACAAAAGCCGAAGCAGGTAATTGGGCTTGTGACTGTGGAGTGCATTCTACCGTTGCAGCACAAATTTAAATGCAAAATTCAAACACAGGCTACAGAGGACAACGTGGTCCAAGGTCAGTCTGTTCACTCTCGAGGCATTTATCGCCCCTGCTGGGTATCTGGAAAAAGGAGTGCAATTGCAGCCGGCTTTCACTGGAGTGGAAATATCGTGCTTTAAAGAGAGAAAAAAAATCAAGACTCCCTTACCCTTTCACACAGAGACACACTCACACACACACACAGCCTACTCCCTGTGTGCATCCTCTTCTTCCTCCTCGTCTTCCTCCTCCTCAGTCACAGCAGCAGAGGAAGGAGCATGACGACCCTTCAGGCCCACGGAACTTGCCAGAGCTGGGTGTATCCATGCACTGTGCAATGAAGGCGTGCAGATCAGTGACACGTATCTGCTCCTGTGTTTGGGCCTGTGGGAAGACAATGTAAAGCTGAAAATATTCGACATGCTCATCTCACCACCGATTCACAGTCATGTTTCTGTATTGAGTTTGTGTGTGACCATACATGCTCTTGGAGGGAAATTACACAAGACAGAATTTGATGACGAGCGCTACATGTCACATAAAATGTCGAAGCCAAAAGCCCTTGGCTATTGTGTGGATTTGAGTTTGACAAAATGAAACTACATGCATGAATAGTCTGCCTTTGTCCTGGTTCTACTTTTCTAAATCTAATTTATTGTAATTGGACTTGACTTCCTTCTTGTAAATTAAATCATCTTTTGATATTCTAAAAGGACCGTTGCACTGCTCCTAATGGCACTTGGAGGCTTTTTTTATTTTAAACTTTTAACCTATTTTTCCATCGGTTGTCATTCTTGTCTTGTTCAGAACAAAAACACTGAGCGACTGAGCACAGTGGAGCTCTGAGCTAAATGCTAACTTCAGCATTCTAACATGCTTACAATAACAATGCTAACATGCAGATTCTGTATGTTTACCATGTTTACTATCCTAGCTTAGCATGTTAGCTGAGGCTAATGGGAAAGTCATTAGTTCTGTTGATATTTCTTATAAAGCTAAGGATTGGAAAAATGTAACTGATGAAACAATACCATAATGGAGTCGTAGGCTCCGGTGATGAGTGCGATGAAGAGGGACAGCACCATGTAGATGAAGAGGGAGATAAAGGTGTAAAGGTACACCTGGCTGAAGATCCACACCAGTGTGCCACTTTTCTCCATCTCAGCAAACGTTACAAACATGTCGTCTCCGTTGATCAGAGAGAACAGGCACTCTGACACCATGGACAGGGAGCGAAACTGTATACACGGAGTGCATAGAAATAACAACAAAACACACATTAGTGAAATCAAGGCACATGATATTAATGCAGCATTTAAATGAGGCAATGACACTAAGGTGAGATCCCAAACCTTTTTCCACAAGCTATAAGAACAGATAACAGTTTGACATTTTGGGAAATACCCTTAT